ATAGACTCTGAACAAGGGAAAGATACTTAAGTGCCTCTAGGAAGGTTGGGGTGTGGGTTAGAGGAGCTAAGTGCTGAGCGTCCTAAGGGAGTTAGCCCGCAGAAGAGGAGAGGAAAAGTCAATTCAGGCAGGGGACACACTGACAAGCAAGGCATAGAGAGGAAAAACAGCACAGCTCATGCAAACTATAAGTGGTCTGTTTTATTGGCACCTAAAGATTGCTATGACAAGGCCAAGCGTGGTGGCTTACTCCTGCAATCCCAGCACTTTGAGAGGCCAAATCAGGAAGATCACTGCAGTCTAGAAGTTTGAAACCACCTGGGGCAACAGAGTGATATCTGTTCTCTGCAACAAATAAAAATTTCAATTAAAAAAAAAATAGAAAAACTGTCCTGTCCTTCACGAAAGAACTCATAATTTCCTCTAGACAAAACTCCTTTATAACTGCACTTTCTAACATTCTCTTTGGGCTATATTTATCTGGCTGCATCCATAAAATGTTAATGTCACTTTTCTTTAAATCCTCTACAATTTGTAGTGTAATACTTTTAACTATATTAAGCATTGAAAACTTTCTAAATGAAATTGAGAACCATGCAAAATCAGGCAAATGTTGCAGCAAATATACACACACTATAAATATATGTGAACTTAAAAATATAATACTTAGATTAATGGAAGAAAGCAAAACATCCTAAGTGAACTTATCACCGGATTTTCCAGTTTGTCTCTATTGTGGAGCTAAATCACTGAGGAGATGTATGAACCACACTAATACCATTTGACAGTACCTGCATTTGAGTGTCATTCTGAGCAAATTGAGTAATTTTACTCAATGAGGTCAAGATCTTCACTAGCTTTTGTGTGTGTGTGTGTGTGTGTGTGTGTGTGTTTTCTTTTTTTTTTTTAGGGGAAAGGGTGGTACATAAGAACTTCTTAGTAGTCTTTATTGAAGTGAAAATGATGACCCTTAAACTGCAATTTTATGGAAGCATTAAAAGATTATATTGTCACTAATTTGCATTATTGCAAGAACTACCTCAGATTTTTGTGAGTAATATGAAAGAAAAAGTCTAGTTTCATAAACAGCTACTAAGTCTTACAATGTGTTTTGAAACCAGGGGTTTGGAAGAATATGTTATTAGTTTAATGTTTTATTAAAATGCTTAGCATTTAAGTTCAAAACTAAAAAACAGTATTTGCAAAATTAAATTGAATTGCCTTTAGCATTTTATGAAAAACTATACATCATAGCCCTCCAAACTTCTTTCCTTAAAGCATCTTGTGACCTACACCTCCCTCATCTTTTCTACCCGCTGTCTACCTTCTGCCTCCGCTGATGTTTTTTCCTTTCCTTTCCTCTCCCATCACTTAGGTAAAGCACATCTCTGTGTCCAGCCTAGCTCATATTTTCCTTAGTCCAGTGCAGACAAGTCTATGGTCATTTGCAAAATCACATTCAATATCACTTTGCTTATTCCCTTAACCTTCACTTTTGTTGTTGTTGCTTACATTATTTTTCAGAAGAAAAAGAAGAAATACGTAGAATTCCCCTCTGAATTATTTTGAAAGGAAGGCATACACACACAAACACTTCTGAAGAAAAAATAGTTATGTTGATTTTTTCTTCTGATTTTCTTAAAAAGCACAAGTCCGAATATACTGTGTATTAGAAATTCATATACTAGTCAAAATATAATGCATTATATTTTAATGTCTGTGCATTTAAAAAGTAAAATAGAAAGAGAAATGATATTGCTAATAGAGTGGGAAAAATTAGTCAAATTTATTCTTTTCCGAAATAATTGTTTCCCTGACTAGCCAAACAACTTCCTTTAAACACTCAATATTTAATTCTCATGTTACCTGAATCAGTTTCAAAAAATACTATAGAGATGGATGTCAGCTACAGCCAGAAACATTTCTTTTGAATAAAAGTTTTGAAGACAAATGCATACAGAATATGACTGTTAAAATGCTTTTTAATCATACCACATCATTAAAGATAGTTTTATTAAAACAATGAAAAATATGAACATTGCAAACAAAGCAATGAATCTCCATGAAAAAGAAAGTCAAATTTTATTTTCCTTTGCTTAATGTAATTGGAGAAAAGCAACTTTTACCTATACTTAAAAAAAAGGGAGAAATAGTGCAATGACGGACTCCCTTGTGTACATTATTATTATGGAAGTCCCAAAATGTATATTCTATTATGTAAGTCCCTTTTATTCCCAGAGTATATGTTATTTTGAACAATTTTGAAACTCTGTACCGCTATCCAGTGCTCTTTTGAATAGTTTTCCAATTATTTGATACCAAAGTTAATTATATTTATTTGAATGTTGAATGATGTTTTTTATAATGTGTATTTCAAATGAATCTATAAGGGAATTGGAAAGGTACAGTTATTATCTATTAATAAGTTCTTGCTGACCACACTTTTTCCTCCTCTTTTTAAAGAGTAGGGGTTGTTTTATTTTAGATATTACAGATGAACGGCTTTAAGTCTGTCATCAAAATACATCGCTTTTCTATTCAGTGGACACTCTATTATATATTTTATTCACTATTTGAATTTACACAAGGAACTGTAAATTCAGTGCTAGGAATTAAATGTTAAAGGTTGATGAGCTCTGAACTTTTTTAGCAAACAAGAACAGAGCAGTTTTGCCCGAATTGCACAGAGCATCTGCTGTGTGTCCAGGGGACTTTTGGTCGTCATTCCCCAAATGGGTAATAACTGTGATTATGAGTGCTTCACAGTTTTTTCTGTTTAATTCATCTGTACTCAATCCAGCAGTGACCCACAGATATTTTCCTACACTTATTTCTTTGTGGTAAAATCCAATGAACAACTTTTCAGAATATCATTTTCAAAGCTATCTTGTAAAATATAACTAAAGAGGTTTCAGTGTTCTCTGTTACATAGAATAAAGTTCTTCTGTTTTATTTCGAAGACTCCTTTAAAAAAAAAATGCACAGAAAGGTCAAATCCATTCCAAATAGAAATCTCATTGCTTAGAAATATTTCTTAGGATCTCAAATCACTCTTTTTTTGGTCTTTTAAATTCTGTCATCTGCCTAGATTTAACCGAAATAATTTTTATTTCTCAGTGTGTTAGCTAAAGGCATCCATTCAAAGGTAAGAACATCATAAAAGGTGAATGGAATTAATTTCAAAGTATATATTTGGCATTTTAAAGAGCTGTATTTCAGCATCTGGAGAGCTGCAATTTAGGCTATCAAATCTACAACAGAGAAACTGGGGGAAATGCGAATACCCTTATGAGGAGGGTCAGTCCTCAGCAAGTGCATTTTCGGTTCCAACCTTCAAAGATAACATTTTCAGCTTGATGGGCTCCTGGTGGAATATTTAATTTACCTCTTTCATTCTTAGCTTCGTCGAAATATAGAGGACTGGATGTCTACCAGGCCAAAGTATAAACTCACCATTTATCTATTAAAGTCATATTTAATGAAAACGAAGAGAAATTATGACCCAATTCACTCTCTTTCTCATTACAATTCCTAAAGAACTTTGCCGGGCACATTATCTCGTAGACATCATGATCAAATGTTATTGTTTGCTTTATTATCTCAGTTGGATGGTTGGCTAGTCTAGAATGAAATAGGTTGAAGGCAATACTCTCAGCCTAGAAGTCTGAATGAGGTTCCCATTCAAATGATCCTGATTGTTTGCGGGTGGGGCGGGGTGATTAGTAAACCAACTGAGCTTACACTGCATAGTAAGCGTCTGGATGCCGCACATTTACATCTAACAAGAGACCCCAGAAAACGTGTGTGTGTTTCTTAAACCTTATGTTCCGAACAAAAGGCTATCTCAGCAACAGACAATCAGCACTGCATTGCTCCCTGGGATGCGAGCAACACACTCAACTGCACATTTCATTCTTCTTCGGCTCCCAGCACCACAAAGCCCCTACTCTCTTCCCACTCCTGGGTCCCCAGATTACTCCATAGAGGGGGGTTGGGAAGGCAGAAGCCTAACGTCTATGCCTGCGCACCAGCAGCCGACACCAGGGCCCCCCGGGCGCTGCTTTCTCCGGCCCAAGCCGCCTGGGGGAGGTAGGGAGGGGAGCCAGGGAGCGCGAGAGGGGACCGCACACCTAGACACTTAGGATTTTATTTATTCATAGGGAGGCGGGGGAGGGGAACTGGGTGAACGCGAATTTTCCCCCTGAAGTTGCTTCTTCTAAGCAGATCAAGTCGTTTTCCGGCTGGTGCTGGGGCCCCCGGGGAGGGTGCCGGTGAGGTCCGGGCTCTCGAGACCAGATCCCGTCCAGTGCGCAGAGTGGGTGGGGGAGGGCGGACGGGCCGCAGCTGTCGAGAGGGCCGGGAACCGGCAGGGAAGGGCCCGTGAGCCGAGGAGCAGCGGGGCTCTGTCCCGGGCCCTCTAAGGCAGGCCGGGGAGCGCAGGGGCAGGCTGGTCACGCGTGGGAAAGAAAGGCCCCTTCCCCCTACGGCGCTGCTCCCCTTTCCCCAGGCTGAGCCGCCCGAGAGTGCGTGCAGGGAGAGCTGCGAGTCCCCGCGCGCGTAATCATGACCTCGGGGCCCCCTCCGGGCCGCGTGAGCGCGTCGGCGAGGCTGGGCGGCCGCCGCGGCCCCGGCCGTGTAACATGACCCGAGCGGCCGGCCGGCCGGCGCGGCGCGGCCATTGAGCCCTCCCTGCCCATGAATCTCTGGCGCGTCTCTAGCTCGCTCGCCCGCTCGCCTCCCGCCTCCCTTTCTCCCCCTCCAGCTCCGCGGGCTCCGTGCGCCTCTCCCTCTCCCTCCTGGTCCTCCCGCTGCCCGTCTCTCTCCACTGCCCGCCTCTCGCCACTGCCTCCCGTCTTCTCTCCCTCACGGCAGCCTCTGTCTCTTTCTCCCTCTCTCCTTTGAAAACTGATCTTTGGCTCTTAGTGTGAAAGTGATTTGAATTTGGCTCGGCGGCGCTCTGCGCCTGCGCCCAGCCTCTGGCATGCTGGCTCCTTCCAAGCAGCTGTTTTGGGTTTGAAATTCCAACATGGCAGAGGCTGCAGTCCGTCTTCCCTTCAAAAACTTGGAATGATTTCAAATCATAGGCACCTTCACTTAACCCTAGCTTCCATTCATCAGCAAACACATCGGATCGATGCTACGCTAACCTATCGGGTTCTCTCTCCGCGCGTTCAGGTAAGAGGAGCTTCGTAGTTTTCTACCATCTGTTTAAATTTGTTTTTGTTTTATTTTTAAAGATTATAAATACATCCAAGACCTGTAATTAAAAGAGATCTTCGAGTTGTGTCGTAAACATTAAATTCAATTTCCACACGTTTCTATTCTGTACGCCAACCTGCTGTCTAATATCTCTGTTCAAAGTAGCCCTGAAACATTATAATGCATATTTTTGCTGCTTAATCATTGCAACAATAGTATGGGATTAAGAGTTCGCGATTGCAAGAATCTCGCTTTTCACTATATTGGGCTTACTTATTACTATCTTTTTACTTCAAAAATAAAAAATAAGAAAGCGGAGCCATAGGGTGGGGCTAGACTTTCTTCGGGAACTAACTTCTAAGTAAATAAGAAGTGTAAATAAGAATCTTGCACACACACAAAAAGTTGAGGTTAAATTACAATCTCGTGGCTGGGGGAACGAGAAAATGTCAGAAGATCGGTTGCAGAAAAATGTAAGCACATCATCTAGGAGGGGGTACAGCGTGGTGGGCGTATTGTTGGCAAGGAACGGGAGAGAAAGATGTATAATTTAATGGTATATACAATCCACTGATCCTATTACCGTCCTCCCCGGAGCTCTTGTTAGTTTCAATGGGAGTGAGTGAAATTGACATGGACTTGCATTCCTGGTCATGTGCTTTTTTTCCTTTCTTTCTTCTCCTGTGATCTGAGATCCCCTTTTTGTTGATGTTGCTTTCCCCCTTAATTATATGCATGTAGGTTAAATGAATACCTGACGAAAGGGCCCACGTTTCAAGGCAGTGACATTTGATAGCTGAGAGGAAAAGTGGCTTTAATGAAAAGCAACCTTTGGAATTCCTGCTTGTGAGAAATCCAATTCAGCTTTTTGTGCTGCCAGCAAGAAATGATCAGTAGCACCAGTGTTTATGGTATGTCAGTTTTGGAATTTACTTCCTTTGCATCTAAATAGGAAAGACAAATGAAATAGCATGATAAAACCATTGAAGACTGCTTGGCAAGCAGTTGCTCATGATATAGAATTCCTTTTTCTTCAAAATAAAATATATGTTTAATGTCACCATGCTTTTTTTTTCTTTTGCTATCACTTGTTTGTGTATTGCAGTTTTGATTAATATATTACTTGAATCCACTTTTATCGGTTTTAGCTGTCATCCAGAAGTTGCACGTTACTAGTAATGCACTGTATGTATATAACTGCTGAAGTCAAGTAGTATGTAAATTAGTTAAACTCAGTGTGGGTTTTTTTTTTTTTTTTTGGAGGGGGGAGGCTAGGCAAAGGGGAGAGGGTAGGAGTGTTGGGAAAGATTACTAACTAATGAAAGTATATCTATGTCTATGTACACACACAGGAACAGGACTGGATGAAAATTTTATTTTTCTCAATCTATTAATGCAGTTTGACTATCTGCTCTTGATGATTGCACTTTGTGGAGTAATCGGTTCTTCCGAGTGTGTTTTTTTTAGGGGGGTGAGTGAAGAGGTATCTTTTACATGAAAATAAAAAATATATTTTGATTGTCCAAAGTCCTTGATGTCTTTTAAAGAGCAAGGATAGGTTTTTTCTTTTTCCCCTTTCCATTCACTCGTCTGCCTGTCAGCGCTTTTTACTTTTAACTTGTGACAGAATTAAATAATCAGGCACTGAAATGGACTTCGTTTGAAATCGCTCTTTCCTCTTTCTTTACAAAAAAAAAAAAAGTCAGTTAAATGGAGTGAGAGGGGGTTTTCAATAGCTCTTGTGGCAGTGCCCTGTGTACACTTGGTGATATTCAATTAAGACTGAGAGGGACCAACAACAACAAAAAGATGTTAAAGTATTTTGCATAACCAAAGGATATGTCCACTTTAGACTGGTTTTTTTTTTTTTTTGGTTGTTGCTATATTTACCCCATGACCATTAATTCCTCCTGAAAAGAGAGAAAGAAGGAAAGAGAGAATATGAAAAAAGAAATAACAGTGGGGCAAAGCTGCCAGGGGTCTGTAGTGTGGCCGTGGTCACTGCTCTCTCCTAACACAAATGTGAATACGAAGAGAGGAACTACAAGACCCGTTGCGCGACATACACTTCTGGTTGGACTCTGGTGACTACTGAGCTAAATACACACCACACTTACACGATAGGAAGGATTTGATTGAATTTTGCATTTGGAACTTGTTGACTTTGAAGCGATCAATAAGAAGACTGTTTATTTTAGATGCACATAATTTGCCCTGAGAAATGTTTTAAGGAGGAGAGAGCACAGCTTTTTTTCCCCCGGAGCTGTTGGAGCGAATGGGATTGCCAGATGGGCGATTTCCCTCTGTGATGTTAAAGCTGTAATATATATTCAGAGCAGATTGGGCTGCTGCCTGTGATGAGGAGGATATTACATTTATAAATTTTAAATCGGAGCTCGGACAATGTGCTGAGAGCAGAAATTGGATGGTTTGACTGTTCACCGTATTGATACTTAAATGTGATTTCTAGGTGGCACTAATAATAATCCTTGCAATAATTCATGAAAAACATATTGGCATAGGCAATTATATAATTCATGACATTTAACAGCAGATTTGAGTGTGTAAATTGCCCCCCCTTAAGTCTCTGCTTACTATTAAATAATAGTCACATAATTCATTTCTCTATGTTTAAATGTCCGATGTTCAAATGATGTTAACTTAGGAGCCTTGTTATCACATATTAGAATACTAGGGGTGAAAGTTTATATACATATATATAAAGTAGACACTTGTGTATATGTATAAAGTGGCGTTAGTGGCTCCTATTTTCTAGTTCTTTACTCTGATTATTTTTAGATTTTGTTTGTCTCAAATGTGCGGCCTAAAGGAACCAGAGCTACAAACCTAAAAGACTAGAAAGTGGGCAAGTGCTCACACTCTGGCAGCTCTGCTGTTGCAAATTAAAAGTGTGTTGTGGTCAGGAAATGAAAGCTACAATGTCTCTTTTGAACAAGTCGTTTATCAAGAGAAACATCTATCAGGGACTGCCTTGTCACATTGATCCTCTAAAAGTTAGGTCCGAGGTGGAAGCTGCTTTGATGTTTTTGATCCTAAATTTAATACAACAGAAAAAAAGCAAGGATATTTTGACCAATATAGATTTTTAAAAATGTTTCCTGGAACCAACAAGATCTATTTATTAGGATTTCACTATGTGTGAAGTTTTCTGGACATAACAGTTGAAAGGTTGAAGGGGAAATCCCAGACTTTATAAATTGATGATTGTTAGAATATACATTTATAATACATTTAGTGATGGCTGGCTTCTTGGTGCACATGGAATGGACGTTTTGAACAGATTGTTCAAAAGCAAAATTATTTTGAAAGAGTATTTTGGAAGAATATGTAGAGAGTCAAGAGTTTTTCATTCATTCAAATTTTAGTTATCCTCTTACCTTCTTCCTCTCTTTTACTCCTTCATTCTTGCTTCTTATCTTCATTATATTTGTGACAAATTAGCTTTTATCTGGAAAAGAAACATTGTTTCTACAAAAACCGTGTCCCCAAAACATGCTTGCACACATCGTCTCTATTGTTTATTAATTGTGCATGTTTATGGTTATCAATATAAACTACACGGACACATAAGTCCTTTGGAATTTCAGCTTAAAAATAGAGGTATCAGATTAAACATGCTATGTATTCTTGAATAATGAATATGTTGTATGCATTATTTAAAATTTAGAAAGTATTGTTAGGAAAATGACCAAGTTGAAACAAAATTGTGAAAGCAGTTAGAAGCAGCCTGCTTCATTTTGGGAGGCAAAGATTCCAAAGAAGTGTTTCTTCTTTGAAATAGAGTTTTTGGATACTTGTTTTACACTGCTGGAGGCAACTTGTTATTTCATCTGGGTCTATCATCAAATAAGAAGGGAAGAGTAGGGTGGGAGTTTTGAGAAGTGTAATACTTGCTAATGATTCATGTCTGAAATGAAAGAATCATAGCAGGGTAATAAAGTCTCATTGTTGTTTTCCTGGAAGAGGGTAAGACTTCTGTTTGGAAGCTGTATGTGTGAGTTGATTTGCTTTTCTCTTCTCCTAAAAACACAGTTTATAGAGTCTCTTTGGAATTATTTCAAGAAACATCTTTTTTTTTTTTCCCTGAAAATAGAGTGTTTTTCTTTCTCCTGACTCTATTGAAATCAGTAAGATTCTTAAAACTGTATCTGATATCTTCTGAGTGAAAATATGAGGTTTTAGTCTTTAGTCATATTTAAGACTCCTGTAGCAGAGTTTCCAGGGCTGATATTTTTTTCCTTCCCATAAATAGAAAATAGTTTTTGTTTTTGCTTTTTTCATGTTAGGCAGGAACTTCGAAAACCTTTTTGTAGGTAGTTACTTCTGATAGATATACAAGAGTGCAGAAATTTCATTAATTACTTTTAGGTGATAATATAAGAGTGTAACCAGGGGGAAGAAAATAGGAAGTTATTTCCAAGAATCTATGGAGATCATCTGTATTATTACTTGGCATTTCTAAGATAGTTTAAGATATAAACCAACTGAAAAGATAAATGAGTAATTTCATTATAGGTTAATTATTTTTTTTCCTGAGCTTCTGGTTGTCACCTTTTAGAATTTAGTGTCTTACTCAGTACATGCTTAGGGACAGATCCACAAAGTTTGGGAGTCTGCACTGTTTTTCAGAATTTTCATGTCAAGGTGAAGACAACCATGCTAATACTTCCCTGTTTCTGTCTATGTGAGTATTTGGATGCCTTGAATGATTGCCTAATTAAGTAATCAGTTTTAGTGGTCCAAAATCAACAGAATTACTAGATGTATTTGAAACAATTGCAGGCTTTTATGGTGTGAAGTTTCCAGTTTTTAGAATCTTGGTTTAGTAGAAATAGAAAGGTGCTGTTTTACCTTTGATCAATATATTCTTGAGTGCAGATTTCACATACTACTCTTTATAAAGTACTGTGTTCATTGTTGGAGAGCTAATACATTTAATTACCAGGAATTTAAATTGATTTATAAATTTTTGATTGGAAGAAACTATTCTGCAGATGTTTGTATGAAATACTGACATATGCTACTGATCGATAGAACTTGATTAATCAGCATATCTGCTGTTTTTCTTGAGTCATTGATAAACTAGAATAAACAAATGGTACAGAAAAAGCTACAAATTTTAACTCTCAATAAAAAAAAAACTTATGTGTCTTTCTTTTGAGATATACAAGAGTTAGTGTTTTATTGAAATTGGTTGAGCTTAGAAATTATTTGGGAGTACCACTTAGAATCTTGTAAATCCCAAAATTCTGCCTTTCAATTCACACACACACACACACACACAGCAAGAGAGAGAGATTGTACCTATATATTTGTTTATTGAAAATGAAAGAATTTGTTTGAGATACTGCAAATAAATGGCCAGTTTAGCAAGTGCTTTCCATGGTTGGATTTTGTCATTTTCTTCTTTTTTTCCTAAACTTGAATTTTGAGCATTAACATTTTCATTTAACTTCTGGCAGAAATTTTAAGCATAGCTGCTTTGGTATGGTTGCTGATTACTGATCTTTTTGATATTTTTGATGTTATCATTTAAATGGCAATTTTATTTCAGAAATGTTTATTTTAAAAAGTAAAATAGTAGGAATAAGGAGTATGAACGAATATACTCAAAATAAACGGTACCTTGAAGTTCGAAGCAAATCAAAAGCAAGGGGTGTGCTAAGTTTCCTTAGGGCAGCACCACAGGTGCCTGCTCAGAAGCGCTGCCTCAATACAGCATATCCGTAAGTACCTGTTGACAACAGTAGTCTTAGCTGAGACTGAGGAGGCAGAAAAGATAGGTGATCAGAAACCATCAAAACATGAGATATCATATGGCACTTTCTGTTAATAATATTTACATATTTTATGCAACAAATCTGCTTGTTGTCTTGTTATTTGAATATTG